TGCTGCAATTCGATCGCAGACGCTAGCGCGATCAACAACGAGTTAGCGATGATCACTACTGAGCGCATGCTGACGACTCAGTGTTGATTATCTCGAGGTTAGTTTTATACTATTCAGACATAAATTTTGTTTTGTACGTCAAGAAGACAGACTCAAAGTTCACGATTGTTCAAATCGTACAATTCTAGGGCTCTGGTTGATTCGCGCATCTTTTTTCCGCTCTCAGGAACCACCCATCACCGACTCTGACATAAGTATGCATGTGTGAGAAACATTTCGCGTATTCACGACCCAGTTTAAAGTTCATCAGTTTTATTCACTACTATTTGACTACTTGACATAATTAGCTAATGCAGTGTCAGCCCCTGCAGGAAAATTTTGTTGCTTCGGTGTGAACTTTGATAAAAGGAGGTACCGAGTCGATCACCCCAACTTATGTCCCGTTCCCGTTGTGATTTCATTATATTTTCAGTTTTTCTTAAACTGCGTGGTTTTATAGGTTTATTCTTGAATATACTGAATAGAGGTATAACTAAGTTGTTATTTGATATAAACCCATTTTGTTCAACGAAACACAGGTATGTACTAGTCTAAATCTGTACTCTAATCGACTAATCCAGCATCACAAAAAGGGGATGGTCACATTCTCGGTCCAAAATAAAACATCATGTGTCTAAAAGCCGTCTAATCAATCACACCCCGCCTGCTTACTTTCTGCGCTGGAGTTTTTTCACCCCTCTCTCATGCAGAGACTGATCAAAATTATTGATTCATACCTGTTCACTTGTCGTCTTCGTCGGCAACCAATTCGCTTCTAAGCGTGACAGCAACAAACCACACATATGAACTTTTGAATGACTCTCACTGAAAGCTTTTCGCGTATTCCGGTCTAACCTACACGCTTTTCATCGCCCCCTGATTAAACCGTTTCAGATACTTTTCATTTACCTTGGTAACTCACTATTACACGGCAAGGCCTAAGGTAAGGGTACTCTGGGCTCGAGCAAAGTCGACAAGGATACGGAACAGGATGTCTCTTGACTTGTCCTTTTGGCGGCTGCGAACGACATGAGGCTAAATAAATAACTGTAAGCCAGCATGATATCGTCCACAGTGACACTCCCAGCTGGTTTGGAGTAGATTCGATCACCCTAATAACGGAGAAAAAGTCTACATTGCTATCACGTCAGTTGTTTTTTATTTTTGGGGGCTCCTTCCAAAAACTCCATATAGCCAGTTCAAGTTGCTTATACCTGTCCCTTAGGAGCACCATATGTCTTCGTTTTTTGTCTCGATATCTTCTTTTCATTTTCATGATCAGAAAAATAAAACTGCCCATGTATTTTTCTCGGGCTAAACTGATGCTAATTACAGGGAATTATTGCTCAGGATCTTTGCCTCTGGTAATGTTGAACCTCCTATGATGAACTCACCAACCGACAGCAGGTTATACATTGACAAAGCTGTGCATCTTTGCTTCTGCCCTCCATCCGACGATTATTGCAACACCCTAATTTGCCTAGATTTGTACTTGCACATCTTTCGTGCCCGCATGTAGTTGTACACTTTCATCAAGTATGCAAACATACTATTAGACATTTCCTGCCCCAACTCGTCAACTTAAGCTGCTCTGCAATTCGATGCAACAGATATTGTCAAATGTTCTCCGCACTGGTACCCAAGATTACACAGTAAGAAGTGTTCTAGGTATAATTTTCTACCTTTCAAACACTTGTCCATAAGGCGCATTATTAATTACTAGTTTTTTTATTCATTTAAACGATCGGATTGGTCAACATCCTTCTGTCAGCTATCTCGGTGCAATGTTCCACCCGATCTGATCTTTTCAAAAAACATGTTCCGAAGGATAACAAGACTTACGTTTGGTGTTTCGTGCCTCAATTCATTTTTCATCCACGTTGGAATTTTCCTCTGGCCTGAGTTTTACAGCACTGTCTTTATTGCTCCCACCACCTGTTATTCATTTAATCTAGTCCATAAGGAAGGTCCATAAGATGATGCCGACATTTGGAATACAGTGACGCAACGAGCGGGCTCACTGGCACTCGATGAAATACTGAAAGCAGCTCATCTGTAGCCTAACGGGAACGAGATTGAATTCCATGTGCCCAAGTGTAAGGTTCGACCGCTACGACACAATGAGCGATTTTCGTATTTGCTCGGAAATTAATAACTGTCATATGCCTCAAGTGAGAAGGATCTGGCTATTCTCATTCAAGAAGACTTAAGCTGTTCCCTCAACTTCGCCAGGGTGTCGAACGCACCTGTAAATAATGTCGGTTTGCTTATGTGTGTTATCGTCCGGTTTGAGTTAGCGCTTTACCTCCGTCTGCTATCAGCATACATTCGCCCACTCACAAAGTATGCTATTCAGGCATGGAATCCGTGGCTACAACGCGAATGCAAAGTGCTGGAGCGTCCACAAAGGATGGCCACCATAAAGTTAAGAGATTGAATCATTATTCAAACGCAGAGAGACTAGAGTCGTTGGCGTTATATTCCAATCACTACCGAAATAACAGAGAAGACATGATTATGGATTACAAATACTGCAAAAGACAAGCCATTAGTGTCGCCCGCTGCTAAAAATATCACCCAACGTATGTAACACTGTCTTTTAACCACAACACGAACCCATGGGAAGAGAAAAGCATCAGCTAAGTTATTTCCATGAATAAACTTTGAACTTTGAACTTATCTCGCGATTCGTGAAGTTTCTTGCCCATTGTAAACACTGCACAACATGCTCGTGAAACGGTGAGAGTAAACACGCAAACAGATCCTCAACCGGTGATAGGACGAAATTCCAGTAAAATGTAAGCAGACACGCACATTTAAAACTTTTTCACGAAAAGATTGCCGAAGTATGTTGGCGCAAATCATGGCAACCGTCCTATTAGTTTACACTGCTTTTGTGTAAATCTACCATAAAAAAGGGAACTCAGTACAGGATTTAGCACTTGATCGTGGTTGATACACCTTTTCTTGCTTTGCTTCATATTCTCGTGTGTTCTCGGTTCCTTGCAACAGTAAAACAGGACATGAATACGTGCTAGTGTAAGGAAGGAAGGTCAGGTGAGCAAAAATTTGCATTTGCATCGAAAAACCATCAGAATTGATCGTCACACACACCTCAATTCATCCAGTAAACTGTTTAATCCGTAGGCAATAGTCTCGAGTATCTCGAGTATCGGTAGGGTATTTCCAACAACCCGTCCCGGACTTGAACGTCCAACCCATCGAAAAGAAAAGCGCCTGTGTTACCAGCGTGCCAATCAGCTAACCGGAGCTAACCAAAATTACGATACAAGTTTCTCATGCATTCACTCCAATAGCACATTAAGCAAGCTCTGTTCAGACAAGCGCTGGTCCGATTCGTCAAGGGCCGTGACCATCTCGAAGGGTCTGCACGGATGTCTGAAAATAATGTTTCTTTGACCGATCAACCACAATATTCATTGTGCAATTTGGCAACATTCACTACTTCCTTTACCAAGCCTAGCCTAACTGAATTCGCGTACAGGAACGAATGATACGGAAGCCCAAACAAGGACTGTCTGATCAGTGCATAAGGTAATCTGATCGATTGGAATTATCAGCAAACTTGAACGGACTAGCTGCATCTCACGGACCCGATCGACAACACACCGGATTCGACTGCATTCCGCCATCGATTGATTCATGGTGACAGTTGAGATTTCGTAACCAGAACTCTGACTTATGGCATGGAAACATCTCATCAAAACCCGAGACAGTTCAGGCATTCCATCACTCAGTATGAGGATTCGTGTGCTACGATTTGTCTAAAACAAACACTGGAGGCAGAAAAGTGTCAAATATCAGGATCATACTACACCATGAGCTGGTAGGATAACGGGAATCCACCTCAGCTACGAGAGAACGGTTCGTTGCTTGTACCCATCCCGAATGCACACTCATACGCACGTTGCCCCTATCGCCATTTCGTGTACACTTAGATACGTCTAAACACTACAAACGTTTCGAACATTCAATAAGATTAAGAATATTATTATCGATGACACCATATCGTTCTCCTCTGTCCACAAGCTTCTCGTTTCTGCATCTAACCTCGAGCATTATCGTTTATAAGGATTTCGTGTATCCTATCTGCCCCGACTTCTAGTCAACAGGTCACAGGTCCTTTGTGAATCGCGGCAACTTTCGTGTACATACAACAAGTATCTGTCACACTCTTCGCGTTACATATTATGGGAAATTGTATAATATTTTCGATGTGAGATTCGGAGTACGTTGTTAACTGAAGCATATGAGCTTTCACACGTTATGCAAATGCCAATAAAAAGACTCTCCATACCGTAGCTGCAGATTGAATCCATATGCATATGCACAAAATGGTGATGGGGACCAACGTGTGTATGTGTGTGCATTCGGGATGGGTACAAGCAACC